AAGGCCAGATGCTGGAAACCAAATCGCTGCAGTACAACAGGGAATGCCCGCCGTATCCACGGATGAAACAAGTGCCGTGCGTTCGGGGCACACGGCACCCGTCATACCAGCCACCTCGCCCTCCTCCCTGATTGCAGCAGGGACCCGACTCCAAGTCACCCGCTGTCACTTGAAGAGCATTCACATTTAAAAGAGAAAACTTGATCCAGAGCCTGGTGGAATTGGACGTGAGGGCAACGACTACCGTTTCTAAGGCATACGAGCTATGAAAGGTGCCTGTACTCGTGGAATGGCCGATATGGTTTTATAGGTTGTAGACATGAGCAGCTATTTAACCAGTAGTGGGGATGTAGGCTTGGACACTAATGGGGTAGGAAGAGTTGAGGGGGGGTTTAACCATTAGCTGCACAGCCCCCAGAGGTGAGGGAGGTCTAACAACTATTATTCTGATGGCCCCGACTGCCTCCAGCTCCACTGCTGCTATCCGTGACGATTGGGACTGTCAGTACGGGTGGTCATGATCACTTAATGGAGAGGCCAGAGTGCTAGCATGTGTTAATGAAGAGCAAAAAGGTGAAAATCCTAGCAAACAAGTTAACAGAGCTTAGAGAGAGAGCCGAATACGCCTGCTGTTAGCTATCTAGGTGTCTTCTAACACCCCCCCATGATGGATCCAGTCACAGGTGACACGTGGCACATGCCACTCCAAGGAGCGTAGCCTTGTAGTAATTACCCAACCAGTTGTGCATTGCCCACTTGTAAGACCAAGGCATTCAAGCTTCAGACGGCTGGGCCGTCCAGACAGGTGCGAATGCCCAGATTCAGGAGCCTCTTCAAACCGTTGTTGCCTGATCTGCATGTCTGCAGACACACACCTGCGCTCAATTTTGCTGGTAACCGCCTGTCTGCCTCTGCCTTCTCCTGGTTTGAATCAGAGGCTGTAAATCTATTCATACCGAAAAGCTGTAATGGGTAATGCAGGTCTATGGATAAAACCGTCTGTGATGGAGAGTCTCCGCTGGGCGAGAGAAATACTTTTCCTGTGAGACGATGTCTGCTCCTGGACAAAATCAGAAGGGCAAGCGGTAACCTAATCATTTGGTTCTGCAGGCTGAGTTGCTAGCTGCCTGCCTGTCACTTTATTTCCATTTATCTTCCGCGGCTGTTGGACGTGTTCCCCCTTTTTATTTTAAAAGCCGGGGCCTGGCAAAGAGATGCCATTGCAGTTTGGCACAAACGCCTGGTCACTGAAGCCTCTCTCTGCTCTCAGCGACGTTTGACCTCCCAAATTTTGACCACCTTGCTGCCCCTGGCAGCTTGCTGCTGCTCTGATCTTTGCACAGAGATGCGGCCCATGTGCTCCACTTTGATTGCTATGGAAAAGTAGCTTTAATTGAGCTGGAGCACTGGATGCTGGCATCGGCAGATTCCTATCAAAAGGTCAGTGTGGTCACAGCACTCGGTTGACCTCGCGTGGCCCTGTCCTCGGCTTTGTCCGACCTGTAGCTCACCTACTGCACAGCTCATTTAAGACTTTCTAAACATGCCGCTAGAGTTTTTATTGCCGGCATGACATTCCTTGCTTTTAGTGAGGCACGGTACAGCCGTAGCATAGCGCCGCTCCTCCGCTTGCCGCGTGCTGTTGGATTTTTTTTAATGCCCAGCTTTTCAGGAGCGGCTTGCAAGGAAAGCATGGTAGTTGTAGACGCTGGTAATGCGAGGCCCTTGTGATGTCCGGCGCTCCTGGCTGGGGAGTGAACCATCAGCTGGACGAGACCAGAGCGGTCTGACAACCCCTGGAGGTGCTGAGCACCTTCGACCACGCAACTGATGCTGCTGAGTACCAGCCTAAGGGAGTTTGCAGTCATGTTTGTAGCCCAGCAGCTTCCTCCCCAGGCTCCCATGGGACGTGGTTTGCTAAACAGAGGGGTGTTTGGGAATGACCTCGAATGCTGCAGTTACCGGAGCCAGTTGCATTAGCACAATCTGAAAAGCCTCTCGGGGCTATTGCTGTCAGCCTTCGTTTGGGCGCGCGGTCCAGCTGGGGCCTGGTTTTAAAGCCGGTTGCAGCTTTTCATCTCGCTGGCAAAAAGTCATCGGGTTGCTTTAATTCAGACAGCTGGGATGGCAGCAAGCAATCTATGAACCCACCTGTTGAGTCCCCCGGCTTTGCATGAAGCAGTTGGCTTGCTGAAAGCCACTAACGGCTACGGGTCCCCGCGGTGCCTTTGTGATCGTGTTAACGCTTTGTAGGCTGCAAGCAAGGATGGCTGGACGCGGAGCGGATCGGGGGAAGGTATCTCGCACGTCTCCAGGGGCCTTGGCTGTACTGTCGGCTTTAGGGATGGCTGCATTTCGGTGGTGGGGTGATTTAAAAGATTTTTCTAGTACAGTACCAGCCCAGCACAAGCGGCGAGGGTAGGAACCATCCGATGAGAGGCACAAGGGGAAGTTAAGTAGTCATAAGGGAAATATATTAAATGAGTGCTACCACTTGAGTGCCTTAAAAAGTCCCCCTTGGTCTGCAGGGGTTTTCCTGTCCCGCAGGGTGAATTCCATCGAGTAGCACCGAGTTCCTGTTCGGTGAGATTGTCGGCCTGTTTGTGGGGCAGAGCTGGGGCCTCCGGGCTCTGGGCACCTCCCTGGGTCAAACCTCCTAGGTGAATGCATGCACGGGGGTGGAAACTAGCCCCCCACCCCATCCAACAACTTAATGAGCTGCACTGTGACCAGAGGGCAGGGCAGGGCAGGGGACTCGTGCGTAGGGGCGCTCGGCTCCTCTTCCTGATATTGCTATTGCCTTCTCAAAGTGCGGCTGTGCAGACCGCCGGCTTTCTCCGGGGCTTCTCCAGCGCTTGGGAGGAGTTTTGAAGTCCGGCAGGGTTGCCCATCGCGGCGTCCACCTGCAGCAGCGTTTCCCTTACTCCCACCATGTGGCCGTTCGCGCGCCGCAGCAGGTTCCTCCCGCGTCTCGAGCGCGCGTGGACGGAGGGACCAAAAAGGTTTTCTCTGCAGCCAGGCAAAGCCGGAGCCCGTTAGTTATTGTGATTTCATCCGTGCCCGGGGCATCTGGGCACAGTGGTAAGGAAGCCTGGTTCCTCCACCCAATGTGCTCGCAGCAGATTAGCAAAGCAGTTGTTAACAGGGGTTGAGCTGTGGTCCCAAGGAAAAAAAAAAGCAGCTTCCTCTTTTTTTTTTTTTTTTTTCCTTCTCCTCCTCCATGCTCTTTTTTTGTGCGTGTCAGCGCTGTTTCACTTTGTCACATTCAGTTGGCCTCCCTGGGCTCTTGACTATAGCAGTGCCTAAGAAAAGCTTGGAAGAGGCCAAGCTACAGTTAACGGCGCTGTAAGTTTTCTTTTCTTCTGTGCCTTTTCCTTTATCCTGATGCAGGGGATCCATGCATCCGACAAGGCTTTGCAAGCACCTGTGCATGTATGACTACCCCTCGCTAGAAATTGTACACGCGTGTGAGAGAGACGATGGTGGTGGGTGGTGGTTAGAGGCAGCATGTGCAGAGATGAGCTGGAGTAACTATATTTGATTTTCTTTTGAACCCAGATGTGCTGCAGGGTTGGGGGTTTGTTTTTTTTTTAACGTGGGATTTGCTTTGGCAGTGGCAGCATTTTCCAAGTCCAGGCGGCAGTGGAAACTTGTGCTCGATTTATAATGAATCGTTACAAGCGGAGTAACGGTTAATGCCGCTTCAACAGCCAGTCGTAAAGGGCACCATTCAGGCATTAGTTGCTCTGGGTTGAAATCCTGACAGGGCCAAGGTTTAAAATCCTCTCCGAGTAAGCAGGTTGAAGTGTCCATAAAAATCAACAACTTGTATAAATCTCTGGTTGGGGCGACAAGGAGCTCGTGGGTACTTTTGGCTGCAAAAGGCCGCAGAGCATCCGACACATTCATGATGTGGGTGCTGGCGTGCGGCAGCGTCTCCTCTTGGACTTGCCATCCGGTTTGCCTGTTAGCGCTCGACTATTTTTCGGAGCAGCGGGGATGTGTGAAGCACTCGAGGCAGCCCTTGGTTTTTAGTCTCGAGCTCCGGTCTTGCACACATGCCTGGGAGAGGTGCTGTGGAGCTGGGGGAAACTGGTTTCTTGCATAAAGTTCCCCCCGTGGGTGGGCAATTTGCAGTCTCGGCACTTCAGTCGGATGGGCACAAGCAATGTGAGAGCGGTCAAAGGAGGACAGGGGAGGAAATGTATGCAGGGGAGAGGAAGGAGGAGGGGAAAGGGCAGAGAGAGCTGTCGGCAGTAACAGCTAAAGATGGCACGAAGCTTACTCCGTCTGTAGAGCCGAAAGCACTAGGCTTTCAAATGGCTGCAGAGCAGAGGCTGGCCAGCGCACCCGTCTCAAATGGCCTGTTACAAAATGGTTGCATCTCGCCTGTTCTCCGGTGTTGCTTCTAATTAAGTTTGAAGGGACTCGAGGAATTGACTCTTTGTGCCACTTCCCCGGACCTCCCCAGAGCTCCTGGCTTTCCTGGCCCTCATCCTAAATTTTCTTTTCCTTCATTGCATTGCCCCCTGTGAAGGCAGCTGACTGCTTTCTGCTCTCGCCAAAGGCAATAGCAGAGCTCCCTCTCACTGCCCTTGGAGCAGGGCTGCCCCCCAAGAAGACCTTTCTGCCTCTGAGGGATGCTTTGTGGCTTTGATCCTGCAAGCAGCACTTTGTTAGAGTCCACTGGACCCACCAGAGCTGCCTGCAGGTACCTGATCCCGGCCCTAACGTTTGAGGGGATTAGAGCCATAGCAATGCCTATCGATAAATCAGCTGGAACAGCATCTGGCTAACCTTTCCTTGGGCTCGCATGGGGTAGGAATGTAGTTCCACCTTAAAACCAACCAAGCAAAGCGTGACAAGCAGAAGAAAGTGCATTTGAGAAAAGTTCAGGCGGCCGGGGTTTGGAAACCATCTGCGGCTTGATGTTTTTCGGTTGTCTCGCTGGACTGTGGTTAGCTCAAGTTTTAATCTGCTGCTTTCCTGTTTCCTTGCAGTTGCAGCGTGATGCCTCCGGCTCGTGCACAATGAAGAGGAGCTCTTGGATTTCCTAGTTCTTCAAGGGGGAAGATTCAGAGGAGACTACTGGCGCATCCACTTATTCAACATGTCCGGGTCTACGCAGCCCGTGACCCCGAGCTGGAGGGCCGCGGAGCCACGCTACCCCACTCACGCCATGTCCTACCCCGTTCAGATTGCTCGGCCACACGCGGTAAGGCAGGCTGTTTCCATTCCCACCCTAGCTCCGTCCTGGAGCAGCTTCGCGTGGCCATGTGGTCTGGGGCAGTGATTCAGATTTGTCGGCTTCCGCTGACGCGGGCCGCCGTTGAGAATTGAAGCACACTTCCTTCTCTCGTGGGATTTTGTTCTTTCCTTTCATAGTCTCAGTTCTTCCCTCCATCTTCTCCACCCCTCCGCTCTCGCTTCCCTCCTTCCACACCACCTTCTGCCACCTGTCCCAGTGGCAGCTTGAGGCTCCAGTTGGTTGCTCGTACAAGCTTTGGCGGGTCTCCCTTTTTCCCCAGGGAAAACCAAACTGGTTAAATGCAACAAGAGGTGAGCATTGGGAGTGGAGGGGAAGTGCGGTTAACCACGTGCGTGGAGTTGAAGAGCTGTGCCTCCACCCCGCTCTGCTTTGGCTCTTTTCGTGCATGCTGAATCACCTAGCACCCTTCCCTGGATGCCACCCTTCCCTGGATGCTCCCCAGCAAGCCTAGCCTTTGGTGCCCACATCTGTTGGAGGGCTCTTGTGCTTTCCGCAGGGGAGGCAGGTGGGCTGTTTTACCCTGCGGTCCAGTGGCCCGACCCCCTCTTCGTAGTGTTTGTCGAGCATGCTGCCTGCTTTATTTTCAGAGGGGAATTCAAGGGCCCTTTCTCTTTATTTCTGGCTCGTCGCTGTTGTCCTGTAGGTGAACGGTCCTATCTCCCATTAATCCAAAGAAGCAACTAAAGCAAGAAATGGTAAAAAGCATTTTGCCAAAGGTGACTCAGCCCAGAATCCAGCTCTGGAGTAGTGGCTCTCAACCTTTTTAGACTCGAGGCACTGCTTGATAGGCTCCAGGCGCCCCTTGGAAAATGCCAGCTCTTAGTTTTCACTTGCTTTTTGACGACAGAAAAATGATAGTGATTTTTTTTTTTTTCCTGTTGCAAAGAGCTAAGAAGGGGCTGCAGCCAGTCCGAATGTTTTTAACTTCTTTGAAATCTCTGGGCTTATCTTATAGTTTCATAGTTGTTTGGGGCTGGAGGGCACCTTACAGATCATCGGGTCCAGCCCCCCTGCATGTGGGCAGGAAAGACTGCCGGGTTCAAACGGTCCCAGCAAGATGGGCATCAAGATGTTTTTTGAAGATTGCCAGGGAGGATGACTTCTTGTGAACCGTGTTTGCACACCTAGCAGTGCTGACGTTGAGTGGCAGTCCGCGGCACCCCTAAAAAGGTCTCTTGGTTGAGAGTCGCTGCTCTAGATGCTTGGACCCGAGACCTCTGCTCAAACCACTGTGCTTTGGCAGCTGCCCTCCTTTAGCCCCCAAGTGAACTAGAAAGCAGTGCAGGCCGGTTGTATCACGCTCAGGAAGATGGGCAGCATTTCTGCAATCGGCCCAGAGTGGCCAGGGTGTGGGGGAGAAGCTGGGTTGTGTCCTGAAGAAATAGTTTCCATGCAAAACAGTTGCCCTTTTGGAGCGGAGTTTGCTGGCAAAGCGGTTCTCCCTTAATCCTGTTATCCACAAGGCAGTGCTTTGCTTGATGTCCGGGAGCCAGCAAGGGCGAAGTTGTCTGAGTGCTGCCTCTCTCTTCTGTGCCAGGTCGCCCACACCCATGCTTGCTCATCCTGGCTGCTTGACTGTTTTTAGACTTAAGCCCTTAACAGGAAAGACTTTCCATAGTGGAACGGCTTCAGTCGCTGCAAGCTGCTTAAATGAATCTTATTAGGTGTCGGAGCATGGAACATCGTCGTAAGGCTGCTCTTCGGAGCCAGCACCGCAGCGTGTTGCAGCAAGGTGTTTATGATGAATGTCAGTGCCTCGTCCCACGGATCGCTCCCGAACAGAGACCCCTTTGAACTGCAAAGTCCGCTGTGCCCACGCTTAAAGATCCTGCTTGAAAACCTGTGCATCCAGGAAATGTCAGCACGGGCCTGAAATGTCCTTATTAACACACCTGCCCCCCTCCCCGCCAACCCCCGGTTGCACTTCAGCGGAGCTGCCCGGGCAGCCGCGTTGGGGCTTGGAAGGCTCCGTGCTAGCCCATGGAGTCAGGCGGGCGAAAGGGCAAGCTTTTGGCTGAATTACCTTGCCTGCACACGTTGCATGGGGCCCCTCGCCTGCCTGCGTTTACTTTGCACAAGGCGGCTTTTCATTCCAGGGAACCAAGAGACCTGTGTTCACCTGGTTCGGTTTTCCTGAGTCTTGCTCCGACAAGTGCGGCGTACGTGCAGTTTCGCAAGCACCCTCTGCCTGTTGGGATCAGGGAGCAAACGGACCTCAACGGGCAAATTCTTTCCGGCTTGCGACACGAGGTAGAAGACGGGCCCGGGGAAATGGGGAGCGTGAGCCAGCATGTCGGAGAGGCTGATTCCAGCGGGTGCTCCACACAGGGTTTTTGGGAAAAGGGGGGGAGCTCAGGGCTTTTGGTCTTCCAAGTCCTTGGCATCACAAGAAGAAAGCTAAGCGATCTGACCTGCAATGAGCAGAACCGAACACCAGCGCGGGGCGCCTGGGGCCTGCCCTCATTGCCGGCTGGCACGAATGCTGCATGCATTTCATCCTGTTCATGTTGTCGGAGTGGTTTTGCTGGCGTTGCTCTTACGTAAATGCTGTGTTTTTTTTTTTGTTGTTGTTTTTTTTATTGCCCCATTAAATCTTCCCAAGGTACACAAGCCTTTTAGGTGGTTGGAAGCAGGGTGGGGAAAGGGGGACCTAACTTCAGGCAGCAGAAGTCCGAAAGGGCTCCATAAAATCAGCAAATTCCCCCCCCCC